TCCAATTGTAAAGGAAAGGGTAGTCATTATAAAATTTCAATTTTTGTCTATTGTCAGTGTTGTTTTTTTAGTCTCTATTTTAGTTGTGTGTATTTGTGCTGGTACTTTGATCCTAACAGTGGTATCAGAGCCACGTTCTTATTCCGTTGCGCTAGTCACTAGAATAGTGTTACTGGAAAAGTTGTAGTAGTGTGAAACTGTTGTCTGGGGAAGTTCTGGCTAGGAAAGACTTGGTACTTAAATGTGTCCATTAGTGACTCACCTCTCTTTCCTGGGAACTTACCTAGTGTACTGGTTCACGGTCTACTACTATTGTTCCAGTAGACAATACTATTCATAAGTGAAAGTTGCATAAGTGGAAACACAACCATGGCAGCAAAGTACGAGATAGAGAAGTTCAACGGGAACAATTTCTCGTTGTGGAAATTGAAGATGAAGGCAATCTTGAGAAAGGACAATTGCGCAGAAGCAATTGAGGGAAAACCTGCAGAAATGGCGGATAAAGATTGAAAGAAAATTGACAGCAACGCTATTGCAAATTTACACTTGGCAATGGCGGACTCGGCTCTATCCAAGTGTTGCGGAGAAAGATTCCGCAAAGGAGATTTGGGATGCCCTCATTAAATTATATGAGGTGAAGTCACTTCACACAAGGATATTCCTGAAGAGGAAACTCTATACTCTTCGGATGAGTGAGTTCACATCGGTGACGAACCACATCAACCAACTGAACACCTTGTTTGCCCAATTAGCGACGAGCAAATTTCAACATAATTGAGAATGAGCGTGCGGAGCTTTTACTTCGAGCTTGCCGGACTCAGTATGATCAACTCATCATCAACATTACAAATAATAATATTGAAGGACAACTACACTTTGACGATGTTGCCGGAGCTATTCTAGAAGAAGAATCCAAGCGAATGAATAAGGTAGAAAGTTCTAAACAAGCGTAAGTTTTGACGATGATGAGAGGAAGATCAACGGAACATGGTTCAAGTGGGAGTCAAGATCATGGCAGATCGAGCTCTCGAAACAAGAAGACTTTCAAATTTAAATGCTACTACTGTGACAAGAAAGGACACACGAAGAAAGAGTGTTGGAAGAGGAAGAATGAAGAATCAACCTCACAGGGTTGCGTTGCGAGTACTTCAGAGGAAGGAATAATTCTGGTAAGCGAAGCAACAATCAGCTCTAATGGCGGAAACGAATTTCATGACAAGTGGATAATGGATTCAGGTGCAACTTGGCACATGACCCCACACCTAGATTGGTTTCAAACCTACGAGCCTATCTCAGGTGGATCCGTGTTCATGGGAAATGACCATGCATTAGAGATTGCTGGAGTTGGTACTGTCAAATTAAAAATGTATGACGGTACTATTCGTACAATCCAAGAAGTACGACATGTGAAGGACTTGAAGAAAAATATATTGTCTATAGGGCAATTGGATGACCTCGGCTGCAAGATCCATGTTGAAGGAGGAATCTTAAAGGCAGTGAGGGGAAACATAGTTGTCATGAAAGCAGAGAAAATAATGGCAAACTTGTATGTGCTTATGGGAGACACCTTGCAAGAAAATCATGCAACAACTGCGTCAACAAACCAAGAAGAAGCGGCGATAACGTGGCACCGTAGACTTGTACATATGTCAGAGCGAGGTCTGCAGATTCTTGCGGAACGTGATCTCATACCTGGGCTCAAGAAGGTCGATTTACCCTTCTGTGAGCATTGTGTGACAAACAAACAACACAGGTTGAAGTTTGCAAGAACCACCACAAGGAGTAAGCAAACTTTGGACTTGATCCATTCCGATGTCCGGGAATCGCCGAATTATCTCTCGGAGGAGCAAAATATTTTGTGTCGTTCATCGATGACTACTCGAGGAGATTATGGGTATACCCTATCAAGAAGAAGTCCGAAGTATTTGCGCGGTTCAAAGACTTCAAAGCACAAGTAGAACTTGAGACCGGAAGGAGAATCAAGTGTTTGAGGACAGTACAATGGAGAAGAATATGTAGATGGAGATTTTCTAGCATTCCGCAAGCAAGAAGGAATTGTGAGACAATTTTCCGTTCCACACACGCCTCAGCAGAATGGTGTAGCGGAGCGGATGAATAGAACTCTTCTAGAGAGAACTGAGAGATATGCCGCAAACTGCAGGCATAACAAAGTCTTTTTGGGCGAAGCCGTGAATACGCTCGTTACTTGATAAATCGGTCTCCATCAACAAGCAATTGGGTTGAAAACTCCTATGGAAATGTGGAGTGGAAAATCAACCGATTATTCTTCCTTACATGTGTTCGGTTGTCCCGCGTACGTGATGTTCAACACCCAAGAAAGGACGAAGTTGGATCCAAAATCCAGGAAATGCATCTTCTTGGGATATGCTGACAATGTGATGGGGTATCGCTTGTGGGATCCCACTGCCCACAAAGTTATTGTTAGCAGAGATGTCGTCTTTGCAGAAAATGAACTGCAAAGCAAGCAGATAAATGACAACTCGGAAAAGGATAAGACTATAGTACGAGATAGAGAAGAAGACTTCGAACATTCCTCCGAGTCGGAGGAGGAGCATGAAGAACATGAGCCAAATGAGGTGGAAGAAGGAGAACTCCGACGATCAACAAGAGAAAGAGTCGGACCATCTTGGCATTCACAATATGTGATGACAAGTCATGATGCGTATTGTCTCCTAAGTGAAGAAGGAGAACCTTCAACTTTTCAAGAGGCCGTGAGTGGTTCGAAGCTCCTCTATGGATGGTCGCTATGGAAGAAGAAATTGAAGCTCTTTATAAAAACAAGACATGGCATCTTGTGGAACTTCCAAAAGGTCGCAGAGCCATTGGTTGCAAATGGGTCTATAAGATCAAGAGAGATGCCAATGATCAAGTGGAAAGATATCGTGCTAGACTTGGTGGTAAAAGGATATGCTCGTAAAGAAGGCATTGATTTCAACGAGATATTCTCACCGGTTGTTAGATTGACAACAATCGAATTGTCCTGGCGATGTGTGCTGCATTTGATTTACATCTTAAGCAATTGGATGTAAAAGCTGCTTTTCTTCATGGAGAACTTGAAGAGGAAATATATATGCTCCAACCGAAGGCTTCAAAGAGCAAGAAAACTTGGTTTCTCTGGTTGAACAAATCTCTATACTGGTCTAAAGCAGGCGCCAAGGTGTTGGTATAAGAGATTTGATTCCTTCATTATTAGCCTCGGATACTACGGACTAAGTTCGGACCATTGTACTTACCACAATAGGTTTGAAGAAAATGATTTCATCATATTGTTGTTGTATGTGGATGACATGTTGGTGGTAGGCCCTAACAAAGCTCGAATCCAAGAATTGAAGGCACAATTGGCTAGGGAGTTTGATATGAAGGACTTGGGACCAGCAAACAAGATTTTAGGGATGCAAATTCACCGAGACAGAAAAGATAGGAAGATTTGACTTTCTCAAAAGAATTATTTACTTAAGATCTTGCGGCGCTTCAACATGCAAGATTGCAAACCAATTTCTACCCCACTTCCTGTCAACTGTAAGTTATCTTCAAGTATGAGTCCTAGCAGTGAAGCGGAGAGGATTGAAATGTCTCGAGTACCGTATGCATCAGCAGTGGGAAGTCTTATGTATGTCATGATTTGTACAAGACCGGACATTGCACAAGCAGTGGGAGTGGTTAGTAGATTCATGGAGAATCCTGGTGGAGAGCATTGGCAAAATGTGAAGAGGATCCTTAGGTATATAAAAGGAACCTCAAATGTTGCATTATGTTATGGAGGATTAGAAGCGATTGTTAGAGGCTATGTTGATTCGGATTTTGCAGGCGATCCGGATAAAAGGAAGTCTACTACTCGGTTATGTGTTTACCATCAATGGAGGGGCGATAAGTTGGTTATCCAAGTTACAAGATGTGGTAGCTCTGTCTACTACGGAAGCTGAATACATGGTCGTCACCCAAGCATGTAAAGAAGCTATATGGATTAAAAGAATAATGGGGGAACTTGGTCACAAGCAACAACAAATTGTTGTGTACTTGTGATAGTCAAAGTGCCTTACACATTGCAAGGAATCCGACCTTTCATTCGAGGACAAAACACATAGGAATAAGATATCATTTTGTTCGAGAAGTAGTAGAAGAAGGAAGTGTAGATTTACGGAAGATCCACACTGAGAAGAACCTAGCAGATGTAATGACAAAGCCGGTTAATGCTGACAAGTTTATACGGAGTCGATCCCTCTATGGCCTATCGAAAGCATAAGCAACATGGATGTGAGAGAAGAAGACATAGTATGAAGATTTGATTAATTTCATCAAAATCTTCAAGTGGGAGATTGTGAAGAAAGAAGTCCCACATCGGTGGGAACTTCAATTGGGGGCTCTCCTCCTTCTTATAAAAGGAGCCCCTCCCTCCTTATTTCAACATCCCAAAAATTTCTCCTTCTTTCTCTTTTACTTTCCGAGTATTGGTAATTTCCAATTGTAAAGGAAAGGGTAGTCATTATAAAATTTCAATTTTTGTCTATTGTCAGTGTTATTTTTCTAGTCTCTATTTTAGTTGTGTGTATTTGTGCTGGTACTCTGATCCTAACAGGTTTCTGGTTGGATTTTCGCTTACAGAACGCAAACCAATCAAATAGAGTTCGTGTAAAATTCTGCATCTTAAAAATTATAAATAATACTTTTTTAATTGTGTCATCGTTTATTATTTATCAGTGAAAAATGAGACGAACTTTAAGCAAATTCTTAAACCTTGTGTCATTTTTTTTCTTGTTATGATAACTGTCCGTGACAAAGTGCTGAAAACTACATCAAGGCTATGAAGAGAAGGAAATTGAAGAAGAATACATTATATGGTTATGACATGGACAGTGCATTACTAAATTCACGATGTGAGCGAACTCTGGTTTATCATTCATTACATAACAATCATAGTTAATGATTTCAGCAAAAAACCCGGGGTGGCTTCGTGAGTTTCAAGTAGAAGAGTGCAACGCTCAGTGGCCGTGATGAGGGTGGTGAAGCGGCGAAGGCGCGGTGGCGTTGAGATGTTGTGGTGGCATAGGTGGTAGAAGCGGTGGAGGGCATTGGTAACACTTTGTGAAGAGTCCAAATGTGTCAATCTGGTGTATGAAGTTAACCATGCTGGCCCACCCACCAAATCCAAACCCTACCACAAGGACCCACACCACCACAAATGAGTTGATAATAAAGCTTCCAACCCATCTTCCAACAAATTTGGGAGGTTGTTCCACCGCATTCTACATCATACGCATCACGTTCAAAAAATAATCAGGGTTACTATACAAACACAATATTCTCTGCGTATTCCAATATTTATGCACTTGTCTTTACGTTACGCTTTAACATTCATGAATATTGTTAATTATAATCATGGTGATAAAGAATATAAAAAAGTTATTGGTTATGGAGAAAATCCCGGGTTCTGCCTGCTAGACGGTGACCATACGCTAACTATTCACAATCGTAATTTTCCTTCTCTCATCCCTATTCTGTGTTTGTTTTAGACACAGTAAAAAGTAAACAGTAACTAACAAATTGCTCAAGAACAAGAACAATGAACGGAATAAATTCCAACACTGCTCTGGTGCTTCACGAAGTCAAAACTATTGGGTTCCGACAGTGATGTTTCAGAGATTGGATGACCCACAAAGCTATCCTTTTCTTTTGTCCTTCTTAAGTTTACTATAAATAAAAACATGTTTTCTTGTTTAGTTTAACTTCTGTTTTGCTACTCAGCACAAGTAGTTAATGAAGGGTACGAAATGCAAGGATTTAAGTCTGGTGGTAGTACAATTGATGGCTATAGGAGGGATGTTAAAGTTTAGTAGCTAGTCTGTGACTGTGAGGTAGATAGGACAATTGTTTTACAAAATGTAACTATTAAGATTTATGATTAAGAAATGATGTGTGTATGTGCATTATATATATGATATGGAGATGAAAAATATGGTACCTGGCGAGCAGAGGATGATTTGAAGGTGAAGATGTGGGCGAGGGCGGGGATGATGTAAACGGTGAAGCTGACAAGGAGAGAGCCAACGGTGGAGTTGATGGGACCGAAGAAGGGGAATATGATGGCCAAGAACCATATGGGGATCACCACTGGCAATCTCACCAAAGCACGCTTGCATAGGCTCTTGCACTCATGCATCCCTATTGCTTTCTCCCACACGAAGTATAATGGGGTGCATGCAAACCCAAATGTTATAAACTGCAATTCACAATATTTAACCATTCAAATAAATTGGGCAAGCACATAACATAGAGATACATAAGTATATTGAAAGATGAAGAGTGGATGAATAGGTAACAGTGAGTGTATCGTGATATGCTTACCTGGTGGATGAGCATTAAAATGACAGCCATGTCACGGAAGGGTGATTTTGGGAGGAGAGCAAAAGCATTGGAGTGATTTAGAAGCATGTCTCCAAATGCCCAATACACTGCTGCTGCGGATGGAAGCGTCAGTGTCAGCACATACAGGGTTGCCAGTAAATATATGGCCTTGAACTTCTGTGGTTTCCACATCGCGTGCATTATCTCCCTGTACCAGTAGTACAATTCTCATTAATATACTGTCTTTTGTTAACTTCATTTTTCCCACACTTATTATTATAATTAGTACTACCATATCATCATCATATAATCACTACAGTTTAGTTCTTATTTCTTCTACAATCGAAGTTACATTATTGTCTTTTTAAAAAATCATAAAACTTCTGGATACAAGGAATAAAGGCTCTGATAAAGATACCATTTTTCTTAAGGTGAAAAGAGAAGGGAATATTTTGTTGTTGCAAGGTTTGATTTTGCTGAGTTGTGAGAAGAGACCTGAAAGCTAAGAAGTAGCGTTCACTGAGGAAAGCTGGATCTATAAGGGAGGGTCCTTTTCATGATATAAAGCAGAAAAGCATCCAAACATTTTAGAGAAAGAGTCTATGCTTTCTCCAAAACTCAAGGATAACAAACAAACAAGGCACCTTTATTTTTTGCCTCCCACGCCTCCCAAGGGTATTTTGGGGAAAAAGGGCTACTGATGATGAGCAACGTAAAATATCTTTTATTTTTTCTAAAACAGTATAAAGCACTCTATTTCCCATACTTTTCTTCACGCCAAAAGCTTAGTTTGCATTAGAATGTATATCCTTGTTATAAAGAAAAGCTTAAAAAATTAACAAAAATGAACTGTAAACAACTTGAAAATTATCCTGATCTCAATGTGTGTGTGTGTGTGTGTATATATATATATATATAGATATAGATATAAAGATATTCAAACCTAACATAAAGTTTCTGGTTATTCTCAAATGAAAGTAGAGGAAAAAGAAAGAGACATTAAGAGATGGGTCATTAATTAGATCTATGTTCAGATTATGTCTACAGAAGTGAAGGTTGAGTCTCAATTGTTGCATTGTTATTTCGCTTTCCCATTTGGAATTATCTAAATCATACACTAGTAACTAGTGATTCGTCCAAGACAAGGCCAAGTGGAAGAAATAAGCATGGGCACGAATATATATCTGAGACTGTCTTACACAGTAACGGCATGTCCCCCGAATGTGTAGAGAATGTTTGTGGCCCCCGTAAAATATAGAACCAATTTGGTCGGACCCGAATGCTTAACTCCCTCCATCTAACCAAAAAAACAATTGGAGAAGCAAACTATTAGAACTATAATGATAAGTGCATGTAATTAATAATTTAATATCAGCAATAGTAGTAATTTTAGATTTTAGCAAACAGTTAATTAATCGTAGCTTTGTGAATAATGTTACCTGACCGTGAAGGAGAGAGGCAACTGTTAGGTACCAAGCAGTGTAAGTGGTCATGAGGAGGCCCAAAAAGGACCAGATTCTGTAGTTGTGAAAGGAAGGAATAAAGACAGTGGTGGCACAGCAGGCTCCGAAGATGTAAGTCCAAGTCCTCTTGTCCAGGTTGTCATTTATGTAATATATGTTGCTGAACAAGGTTAAAACAATATTCACACCCCAATGAAGTTACAGCAGGTAAGGTTATTATGGAGCATGCATGTGATGTTGGTTCCTTGGCTTAATTTAGATAAAATATATATTACCACAATAAAGAACTTATCTACTTAGCCAGGACTAATAAATAATGGAGAAAGAGTTAAAGGAAGGGTCAGAGGACTCAGATTAAGTTGGAGTAGGTACCTTGCACAAGCTATCAGTTGTATGACAGATCCAAACAGAAGAAATGTGCAGTTAAAGGCCAATCCCACGTTTCTCCAGTGCTTCCCGAGGAGCCCGTCAAGAACTTCAAACCACTGCATAATTTATGGCATAAAAACGACAATCAGATTTAAAACTTAATTAAGAGATTGTACTTTGAACTTGTATTAAAATAAGTTGTGTTAATGTTGGTGAGTTGAACCTGGATGACATGGTTTCTGAAGTTAACTTTTTCTCTCTCTTTTCTCGTTCTGTATTCAACGTAGAGTATGCTGATGAGGTAAGCCGTCCAGCTACCAAGTAAACCGTAGAAGAGTTGAAAAAGTATGCCAGAAAGCATTCCCAGCTGGGAAAATGAGTATGGCAACGTAAGCAGCACTTGAGCCACCTGACATGTTAAGGACATGATATAAACATGATTCTCATAGGAGCATAACAATAACATTAACAGCATCCAAACATAGAGCTCATAATGTTAGAATGGAACAAAAGATATTGAGCTATGACAAGAGCAGAATATGGAAAGGAATATATGTTCATAAAACCAACCACCAACCTGGTTGGAAGCACAGCTGAACCAAGCATCATAAACAGAACCACCGTGCCACAACAAGTTTGATAACCTGGACTTTACGTCCTTTGGCTTCCCTTCGGTTTCCATTTCCACGTAGTTCCCTGCTATTACCGTTTCCACCACCTTATCCGATGCCATTTTTTTGGTTTCTTGGATCACTTTCACTTTGTTTCCACTCTCTCAAGTGTCAAACTCCTATTGTATTATGGCTACTGGCTCTACCTCCTTGATGTGGTGGCTTGTTATTCTTTGCTGTGATAGTTTTGAGACTTTCAACAATACTAAGTGCGGAGTGAGTTGAGGTTGGAAAATGGAAGCAAGGATGGATGGAGATGAGAGTTGAAGAGGTGGTATATATACAGGACAGCACACAAAAGGGTTCTCGAAGGTTGTGTGAGAGAGAGAGAGAGAGAGAGAGAGAGTCTGTGTGTATGAAAGGTATTGTAGAGGGTGGTTTTGGGAAGCGAGTGAATCCACTTTTTGAAGAACTAAAAGTAAAAGCTCCCGAGGTGCTTTGACGAAAAATCCCTTGGTTCTGTTCTGGAGTCCCTTTCTGTAATTACAACTTTTGTTATTTACCTTAATGGTCACGTCTTGGTTTGGTTTGGGGTATGAGTTGTGAACAAATCTCATTTAAATATGACAAAATTGCTCTGAAATGACATATTTTACTAACTGCTTAGGAAGCGTGATGGCTTGTCCGCACGAGCGGGCCTCTCGCTTCCCGAGCTAATGATAATTGCAATTTTCCTTTACCCAACCTCACTGTCCTTTGTAAGATGAGAGAGAGCTCATTGAACACTATAGTCATAGAGTTGTTTGTAATGTTACTCCAATGTTTTAATTTGAATGGTTTTACATTGGCCAAAGTTGAATCTACCATAGCATGTTCAGTTGATGGTTCGATAGCAGACACAAATGAAATTGCAACCAGCCTTGTCCACACCTTTGTCTTAACCTTAATTTTTATCCCTTTGGTTACAGTGTAGAAATGTGGAGGATAACACGGCACAGCAAAAGTACGTTGGTTTTGTTGTTGGAGAACAAGGTCAATTTTGGAGAGGTAAAAAGGATGAAAAAAGAAATAAGCAAAGGAAGGAGTGTAGGAAATAATAGCATTGTAGACCGCATGATTGCAGCAAAACGGGCGTGGTCGCTTTGCAAGTCGAAGAAAGCTGCTTTTATCACATGGCCAACTCTTTGTAGACTCGAGAATCCCTTCCACCAAATTCCATGCTCAAACCCCAATTAAAACATATTCCACATGCAATTCTTTTCCTCATATTTGCATATGCACAATAATATATTAGCGTAGGGGATTGATACGGGATAAATATAGATACATAGACAAAACATTGGTAGAATTGTTAGATCATGTGCCCTTGCTCAGCTGCACCTCCAAATTCTTAATATTTATCTTGATTTTCTTTAGTACTCTAATATTCCACAGTGTCTCCTTGAGAGAAAAAAAATATATTCTGTGTGTATGTTATCTTAATCCTATAGATTCTCTCTGTTTATTACCCTCCTCCGAAAGATGGAATTTCTTGTTCTAACTACTATCATTAAGATTTTCTTATTCTTTTTTAGTGCAGTAGCACTTTTTACCTTGGAGTAAAACAAACAAATAGAGCCAACCTCTCTTCAGTACTGTCATATATTTATTCAACAATTTCGAACCATTAAGAAATACATTATATATCATGGGTGGGTAAAAAATGGTTCATTTCTTCTACCCCTCCTTTTCATTGTCATGAAATTTTCTGACAGTGGTCCAAATAGTGCAGGGAAGAGTTACCGGCCTTCAAATTTGTCTTCTTTTAAATTTGAATGAGTTGGCTAAAGAGCTCACTTATTATTCTCCTTCCCCTCATGATGATAAACCATGATGAGTTTGTCTTTTTTATGAATTAAGATAAGAACATCATTTACCTAGTGGTGCTGCTGATCATACTGAGGGTAGAAATTAAAATAAAAAGGGAAGCATGCATGACTTGAGGGTCCAAAAAGCATATGGTTTAGGGGCAGCCAAACATATTCATGAAGAATGTTGGAAGGCCACATTCCACTCCTCGTTTAGTCACACTTTCAAGTAACTGGGACCAGAAACATTCTCTGTGGCTAGTGTCTCCTTGACCAACTTCATTCTATTGGCTAACTTCTAGTTTGTTCAAACATATTCTTAGCATAATCAACACCTTTGCACTCCATTTATTACTATCAGCTCTTGATGGTATTAAATTTTATCCATGCGGGGCAATGTCCTGGTTATGTTGTTTCCAACGTTGGATCAACTAAGATTTCTACTGACCTTCATTGTCAGGTGAATTGGTGGTTAACGTGGGTGTCTGCATAATTAGCACATTCAGCCTGTTCTGCACGTTTTTAAGCAATTTCGAAGCAAAATGATGTTTTGAAACGATTCCATTTTCTGCTTCAATTATGATTCTTCTTTAGCCCATTTCCAACAATAGTATTTGTTATGAAGTTTTTGCTTCATGTTTACGCTACATCTGCCTCTTGAACTTAATTGGCCATGTGACAGAATCTGGGCCATTTTTGTTTGAAGTTGATGTTAAAAAAATCAGTCAAAGTGACTCAGTAGAAACAAATTAATTGATTGGTGATACCTATTGATATAAATAGCAAATCAAAAGAGGGAATCATGAACAAATACAGTTTTTATGAAGCTTGGATTTAAACAATTAAGACACGGCATGTCATGCTAGAGACAATTATTTTTGTTGAATCATATCACGGTCCCAATTGTGGTTGGGGACCATGGATGAAAAAGTTGCATTTTTTGATTTCAATGATAATGTTGAAACAGAAACAGAATTTCAAGTGAATGCTTGTATCTGTCGGAATCAACAAACAACTAACAATATCTAGTGTGCCTGCTAAAGTTGGTGGCATGCTACACCATTTATTGGTGAACTTGCAAGAGATTCTGGGAAGTCAAACCTGTAAAGAGCAATCAAAAGCTATGGCTCAATTCGGTTTAGTCTGGAAGGGAGGAGTATATGCTGATGCTTAGCCCTTTAGTTTGATTCAATTAGAGTAGAACATAATCATACCATAATCATGTCTCAAATCCACTTCGATTTTAAGCAAGCAGCTCTAGCTACCATATGAAGGCTATGAGATCTGAAGCTATATTGAATTTATCTTAAGCAAGAAAAAAAAATGACCTTAGGAATTACTCTCTTTATCTTTACTTCTAGAGATGATTATGTTATGCACTGCAATGATTCAAACTCCTCATAGGTCAATACTGAATCCTTTTTATCATCCATATTCCTTTCTTGCCGTGGTAATTTTGAAGGTGGGTCTCTCTCCCTGTGCTGATCATAGAAGATTGACGTTAGCACTTTTGGCTTTTGGAAGGCATGAGGAAGCAAAACCAGCATTGACTTGTGCTTCAATTGCATGACGTGGCTACTTACTGTTGCACCATTAGTACTTCACTAATTGTTGATGCAATGGTGGTCAACCTTGGTGGCAAAGATGCATGTCTATGTTTGCATATGCAATATAATTGGTGTGATGTAATTTATCCACAAACACCATGATGGAAGCCTATCCTTTTTGCATCCATGCTGGAGCTGGGCCTCTCCTGTAACCAAAAGAATCCCATCATAGAACACCACTTTTGCTCCACTTTAGTGCCCTCTTTTGCACTGTGAAGATCGAACAAATATTCTGCTACATTTACCAGCAAAATTCTCTTAGCAATTGATAGATTTTGCAACTTTCTTGAATACATGTCATAAGGCCCTCAAAGTTGTGCTTTTTATGGCTGAATGAGAATAGTATTCCTATTAAAATATGACAAAGCGCTGGCTTAACCGTTTGAGTTCACTATACAAATGGCCCATCTCTGAATCTCCCAACTACTTTTAAACCACCATATGCAAAAATACAAAGTTCCATGTAGTTGAAAGTCACGTTATTTTTGCCTAATTATTTGAATTGTTCAACCTAGAAGAGATTAGTAAAAGAATAGAGCATTTGAGTACAAATTTAACTACAAAAATGACATCAGGCTCGTTTGGACCTGTGCCTAACACTGTTATAATTTTTTTGTTTCAACCTCTCTAAATTTATAAATATTATTAAACTTGTGAGAATAAATCAAATGGGTCACCTAAATTCACTCACCTTGAGTTAGAAAGAGTCAATTTAACTTGGTTTAGTTAAGAAATAACATCCAACCTACATATATAATGGAGAAAGAGTAGTGATAATAAATTGAATTTTATTGTTTTTATGGTGAATTAGATGGATTCGGTTGGAATTGAGCTATAACTCACCTCTTCACTCATAATTGAAGCGATTGATATGGGCAAAAAATCTTATATAATATTGAAGGGGAGTTTGTTAGTCTATATTTTTAATGATGATAATATTATTTTAACGTGAACATGATAATCATAATACTTTAGAAATTTTATTAGGATTGTTTATATAAATATAATAATTATAAGTATAATGATTTTAATACTCATGTTTATTGAAATAAAATTAATCTTCATACTAAAGATCTTCTTGTATGCATAAATAATACTATTATTTTAATATGAATTTCATATAAAAAGTTGTTTGAAATTTATAAATTATTTGTATAAATAATTTTTTAAAAACTTTACGTGAAATCCAATTTTATATAAATCCACGTCAATTTGCAAAAATTTTAACTAATGAAAATAATTCACTCATACATTAAATTTATAGATCTTACATCATAATCATTATTATCATTAAACAGTTTATATGCAATCTACTTCCATGGAACACACTCGAAACCATTCACTTTAACAAGTAATTGTAAATTAAATTCTTAACTCTACTATGATAATTTTTCCAAAAGAAATATTTAAAAATCTTTAATAAAAGATTCTTAAAAGTTTGATTGTAAAGTAAAAACTAATATTTTAATAATAATTTTATAATAAACATGATTAATAAAAATATAATAATATAAATAATCCTTTGTGACGAAATTAAATTATCCTTTATCGAAGAGCACAATCCTCACCAATTTAATTTGGTCCATTAATATTGGCCCATAAAAATGGGAAGAAACTAGTTTTGGACTGCTTATTAAAAAATCAGTCTTAACCAATTTAGTTGTAATATAGCAAGTAACTGTAACAAATTTACTTTATTTATATTTTAAAAATGAGAATATTTAATATATTAATAATTAATAACCAATAAATGAAGTCACAAATTTAAATAATCAATAAAAAACGATTAAAATATTAAATTTTGCTAAAAAAATTGAATTAGGCTAGGTGTGATGATGTTATATCAGTGCATGTTTCACATGAGTTCTACTCGACAAGGGAAAAGTGTAACAACATATGAAAAAAAAAAAAAAAGGAAAGTTTGATTTTTTTTTGTGTTTTTCTTTTGTGTCAAGGGTATTATTAGCGTTAGAAGAAACAGCGAAGGAAGGAGGTGGCGAGAACAGAGGGAGCAAGCAAAAGTAAGCCAAGAAAAGAAAAGAAAAGAAAAGCAAAAGAAGAACACAATCAAGCATTCGGCAGCTTCACAAGAAACTGAATCAATCTCTGTTCTTTCATTATTCTTCGTCTTCCACATGGCTCGCCGTCTTCTCTTTCTCATTATTCTCAGCCTTGTCGCATTATTCTTCTTCTCAGGTAATTTCAAAAACCATAAATTAAAAAGAATAAAAAAGGTAACTTTTTTAAACACTTATGGGTTGCTGAAACTTGCAGAGGTACAATCAGCATCGTTCAAAATTGTGAACAAGTGCCGCCACACGATATGGCCGGGATTACTCTCAGGCGCCACCTCGCCGCCGCTTCCCACCACCGGATTCGCTCTCCAGGGCGGAGAATCGAAGACATTAAAAATCCCGAAATCTTGGTCGGGTCGGATATGGGCACGGACCCTCTGCGGTCAAGACTCCGACGGAAAGTTCTCTTGTGCCACCGCCGACTGTGGTTCAGGCAAAGTAGAGTGCGTCGGCGGTGCCAAGCCGCCGGCGACATTGGCGGAGTTCACCTTGAACGGCGCCGATGGGTTGGACTTCTACGACGTGAGTTTGGTCGACGGTTACAACCTTCCGATGCTGATCGTGGCGAAGGACGGCACGAGGGGCGGGTGCAGCGCCACGGGGTGTCTCGTCGACCTCAACGGCGGGTGTCCAGCGGAGCTGAGGGTGGCGCTTGTTAACGGCAGCCGCAGGAGCGTGGCGTGCCGGAGCGCGTGCGAAGCCTTTGGTGACCCTCGTTTTTGCTGCAGCGAGGGGTACTCGACGCCTGACACGTGTGGTCCTTCTCTTTATTCGCTATTCTTCAAGCACGCTTGCCCACGCGCGTATAGCTACGCGTATGATGACAAGACCAGCACTTACACATGTGCCTCCGCCAACTATTTGATCATTTTCTGCCCCTTGCCCTATACCAGGTACTATTATTCTTCCATCATCACCCATCAACCTTACTTTCAGCTTCTTTTCTTGTTTAAAGTAAGGCTAATTCTGACTTTTCCTTGGGCGCATGATTAGAATGAAAACTTATTAAAAGTAGACGAATGCTTGTTTATGTAGAGTGGGGTTAAGTAATGCATTGTCATTGTCACAAACACGTTGTTATGTATTACCACTACTTTATATAATCTATGTTCTGTTTTCTTTTTTTAAAATTTGTATATGTTTTGTGGTCCACATTATTTACAAGAGTTTCTATTGTACTTTTGTTAATCCCCTTTCCCCTTTTCTTTCTCCACCCCATTTTAGGAAGCTAGAATATTTCAAGGTATTAAATTTTTATGATTTGCAAGAGAAGGAGAAGTAACACTGTTATTAGAAGCTATTGGTGAAATCTGACCAGACCTGCAGAAAATGGTAATCACTGGATTAGAACTTGTATACATTACTAGGCTCTTTCCCATATGAATTTTTGAAATCAAATCTTTCAACCAGAACCAATATGGATAAACTTTAATGTATAATGTATTCTCTGGCCATGTTCCAATGAACGCATTGTACTCAAAAAGCGAGGTTCTTACTTCCTGTGAGGTTCTTCATTTCCACCACCAACTTTGCTTGGTGTTTTTACTTTCATGGCCGACATCTCACCCTTGAATCCCGTAATAAGACAGAAACAGATGGACGATGTGGATGTTTTCTTCTTTAAGACATTCTTTAATTGCTGCACATTGTCATCTTGTAGATTTTTATTGGGGGAAGACTTTCTACTCCTTTTAAGTGTTTACTTAGTAACATGAGCATGTATGTTGTGTGGTGTTGAACAGCCAAAAACTGTTGGGAGCACGGAAAGATGGGGCACAGCTTCCCCTGGTAAACAAAACTATGATGTACTTATCAAGGCTACAGTCAAGTGGTTCTTCACCATCAGGTGTGGTTCAAACGAAGAGTATAGCTTATGTTGCTTCTATTTTAGTGGCTTTGTTGCTGCCCTCTATAGCATCATTTATGGATTATGTTTCCTTGGACATTTCAGATAGATAGATAGATAGATAGTTTCACCAGAAATAGCTGGTCCCTTATATAGCCGTGTAAGCTCTTCATGCTGCTCCTTCTTACTATTTTACACCAAACCATCAAATAGATGCTGTGCTGATTCTGCTCATCATGCAGGACTTGAAGAATATCATATAGGAAACACTGTAAATCCTTTTACTTGTATGTTTATATTGTCTTTTCTCCCACGTTAATACATCAACACTGTAATAGTTGATCTCTGGCGATCCTTCACTTGTTATTTTTATTAACAAGGAGGCATTACCAATCTGCAAAGTACTGTGTAGTCAAGATTCTACTTGTTATGAGAGGTAGATTGTAACGAGTTCAACAGTGTATACTTGAGATAGGCTTATGAAGTGATCATTGATGCTTCCTGCATTATTTTGGTTTTGCTTCACTTATCTCACATGCTTCTTCCATACCAACATGTGAAGTAAAGATAAAACTACCTATAAAAATATAGAATAGTTATCCTCTTCCTCTTTATGGATGATTTAAATGAGAAAATGGAATTGATAATTTTCCTATTTGTGAACCATGGGAACTTATTTATAATGACAATGATTTATATGTTTTGTTCATAAAATCTGTTGTATATTTACTATGTAAATTATTACAATAAAACTATTAAATTCATGGATAAATCTTTTTATATCTAAGAATTTAATATTTATATTAATATATATATATATATTAAATTTTAATTTATGATAAATTAAAGAAACACAATAAATAATGAGGACATAGAAGCCCTCATGGCTGTTTCTACTATGATAATATAATATATTTAGTTAAAATATATTATTAACTTTTGTTTTAAGCTTTCAACATAGAGAAGGAAAAAACTAACAAAGTCCGTTGTTTTAAGAAGAATTACTATTTTACCTCAAATGCCATTTTTACTTTTCATCGATGACACATTCATCATTAAATTTAATTCATATTTGTTTATTTTACAATTATTATAATATTATATATTTTTAAACTAATTATGTATTAATTATTTATTAAAATACTTTTAATTAAATTTTATAATAATATATTTTTAAAAAAATTGTCTTTTAATTTTATCAATTATTGTTATTCCATAAAATTATTATACTTTACAAATTATTTAATAATAATATATATATAAATAATAATAATAATAATTATTATTATTATATTTTTATGTTATTAATTAAAATAAAAATAATCCAAATATTTTTAATATTTTAAATTTTAATAATAATAATAATTTTTTAAAAGAATAATTTGATAATCTCCAAATTTTTCTATTGAAACATTTATTTAATTATTCACATTTTTTTTCTCTAAGTTTCTTACCATACTCTTAATTCAAACAATTTCATTCTCATATTATTTTCTCTTAAAATGATTGTCAATTTAGTTATTATTAAGACCTAATTTTCTTACTTATTCATTATTACTGATATGCATAGATGGAATAAAATAAAATCATAACTTAATGTATAATTTATTTTAAGATGTGTAACTAAATTAAAATGATAAAAAATAGTGTAACAAAATTGAGTTTTATTTTCTTTTTAATTTATGTCTTAATTTTTTTTATTTTTATTTAATTTAAAAAATATATATAATTTTATTTTGTAATCATGATTAAACACGTTGAAAAAAAACTATTTGTTCATCTTTTTATTTTTTTTACACGGAATGCAGTATAAGTTCATGGATTGCATTTATTATTTTATCACACCAGATTCACACCAGATCCATTTCAGGGTGACTTATACATTATTATCTTAATTCTTTATTTTTTTAAATTTTATATACAAAATATTTCATAATTTCGATTAAAAATATATGGATATTTATTTTTATCACCGTTACTAACCATAATTTCATTTACGTAATGAATAATTCCTAAATCCATATAATTCTATATATCATATATCATATATGTTTTTATATAATTTATATTAATTATTGAATTTTTTAATATATCTTAAGTCAGTTAATAATTTTTTAAAAATAATAAATTAAAAATATTTTTATATGATTTATTAAGAATGGAAATTTATCTACACATTATACTCAAATATTAAGAAATTAATAATAAAAAAAGTATTTCAAAAAATTGTCAAATATGTAACAGAGAGAAAAAATGAAATGGAATTATGATTTAATGATGACAACTAAGTCAAATAAATAAAAAATTATAATTTTATGAAATATTAAGAAATTAATAATAAAAAAATCTTTTAAAAAATTGTTCAATAGGTATCATAGAGAAAAGAATGATTTTAAAGATGACAAGTAAGTCAAATAAATAAATATATATATATATATATATATATATATATATATAATTTATTATTGTAACATGCACAAACTAATTTAAAAAAAATATCAACATTAAATAATATCTAATAATAAAATCTTTATATTTAAGATATTTTTAAACATAATACACATAACATATCTTTTAATGATAAATATTTACGTTAATACAATTTTATAAAAATTTAATTTCTTCGATTTTTTTTTTTTAATGACTAAAGTAGTAAGAACTTTTTTGGAAATGATTCATTTATTTTATCTCATCACACTCAAAAAATACATGGAGAGTTTAATTAATCTCTGGTTACGTGAGAACAAGCAAAGTATTGTATATACATTTTAAAATATAATTAATTAATTAAAATAAAATTAATTGATAATGTATACAAATGAAGAATAAATTTATATTTAGTTAGAAAATGTTGTCATTTGTAAACATAATATTACCTGATTAAGATTAGCAATAATTTTATCTGACTAGTTTAATCAGATTTAAGAGATATTTACATAATGGGTGGAATAAAAAATGTATCGTATTCTTATATAATCACAGAATAAATTAGTATGTTTTATTATATTACATTGTGGATACTGAAAGTTATTTTAAAATATTTAAATATATATTTTTTAAAATATTTAAAAATGTAAATTAATTTTTAAATAATTATTTTAATTCTTGTAACTTACAAAATTTACATTGCATGAATCATAAATCAATTATATCCTAAGTAACATTTTATATACAGTAAATACAATAAAGATAATATAATAGAAAAAAAATACTAAAACAAATTGCGCATATTTTTTTTGTTATATTCAATGAAAAAAAATACATGCCATCGTTCCTAACTTCCATCAAATTTAAAACCATATGACGAAAAGACTTACGTTAGTTGTCTATTTTTAGAAAAAAATTAAAAAAATATGATTACAAGTTAGGACATGTGATACTTTTAAAATATTATTAATAATTATTTTTGGTGGATATAATAATAATAATAAAAAAAGCTTCTGATTCATCCAATTAAAAAACTTAACAATAGTTAAATAAATTGAAAAAAATGATAAATATACATTTAATTACATTTTCTTAATAAAAAACAATTAATTACGTTTGATGGTCTAATACAATAACCATCCATTACTCACACTAACCCAACTTTTCCAATACATTTAAATATAATTTATATATTATAATTAAGGTTTTGTCTGGGTATATTTCACAAATATTCTAAAGATTCGCCTCAAGTAAATTTAACTCAATCAAATAATTAATAATATTTAACTAAAAATTATTTAAATAATTACTATTTTTTAGATTATTAATTTTTAAAATACTTTTATTTTATATAACGTGTTTTCTCTATTATTCCTTATTTCTACATGTAATGTGTTCTTTATCTGATATTCGTACATGTAAACGTTCATCTTCATATATATCTTCTTTTTATTTATATATTTTCTTTACTTTTTACATCACAATAACAAAATATATACTTGTATGAACTATGATACTAAAAATAATTATAAACTTTATATATATATATATATATATATATATATATATATATATATATATATATATATACAGAGAGATAAATTATTAGTCCGTGAACTATGATAAGAATGAATAATATTTGAAATTTACAGAAATCACGAAACTTTAATAATTTTTTAATATTTAAAAACTGTATCCCCATCAACCATGATAAGATGTTTGGATTGAATGTATTTATTTACATAGAAGGATGCTGCTTATTTTATATTCTTCATCCGACACAATATTTTTGAAAAGAAAGTTAACTTTGCAAAAACTTAAAATTGAGAACAAAGTGGGGACTCTTTTCTATGACCATCACATAACTTTGCAAAAATTCCATCATGTGGCTTTGTCTGGAAAATATGTTTATTTTCTTACATGTAATGGAAGTGTCATTTGGAAATATATTTAAGTAAAATTGATTTTTGGCACCTTTGGTTTCTTACATTTTGAGTTTAGAAGAAGGTTTGAAAGTCAACATTTGCAGTTTACAGAGTGTTGCATAAAAAGAAGAGAGAAAAAAAAAATGGAATCCAATGCTTTTCACATAATTGCTACTGCCACTCTGTTAAGTACTGTATGTACCCCCTATCATCATCAACAACAACAACAACAAACGCTCAATCATATAATCTACGTCTGCTTCCAAACACGCCCCTACTCCTCCACCCTTCCACACCTCTTAATTATTTTCATTTTCCCTTTTTTTATTGTCACTGTTTATTCTGACGTTACAGAATATAATATTTGAAAACTAATTTCCCCAAAACAGTTTTTACCGATTTCACAAACCAGATTATGAAAAATTTAAACAGTGAATCCAAACACGCTTAACAAATATTGAAAAGCCACACACAAAGTTATTTTGTATTTTCTTTTTGCTAGATTACAAAAATGTAATATTTAAAATTAAATTTATTATATGATTAAATATTAACTTTGCGTTCAGCTATTCATTTTCAATTGTGTATTAAGATGTTACAATTTATAAATGTTTGGGAGAAAAAAATATTATCTAAAATATTTTTTTTGACATAATTCAATTTTCTGTTCTCGTAAAATTACACGTTTATTCATTTCTTTTTATATATTGAATGTCTATTACTTCCGTCTTCACTCTATTTTGTGTGAGTACTATTGAGTCTACATGTACCTATTGTTATCATGTTACATTGTGAATATTTTTAAATTTTGTTTTGGTTTAATTATGTTTTTAATTTTTTTAAAATTTAATATACATTTTTGTTGTTTTTTAAATTAAACAATTATTTTAGTTTTAAAATTTAATAAATTTAAATTTATTTTAAAAACATTGAATTTTAAACACTTTTAAAAAATCAATTTAATCCTTTAAATTTATAATTTAGAAACTACAAATTTGTTTTTCAATTTTTGATGGTCTAAAATTATATTTTAAAAAGTTATAGATTAAAAACTCATAATTTCAAAAATTAAAATCATATTTGAGTTTATTTTATTTATAACGTTGGATGGTAATAGATTCACTGAACACGTTTTTCTATTCAAACATTTTTTTACTTGAGTTAATCTTGAAATTAATATATGTTTTTAAAACTTTACAATTTTTATATTTAAGAAAATTTAAATAATGAAAAAAAAAATTGAATCTGATACTATAATTAAATTGATCTAAAACTTAAATATCCTATGTAAAAAAAAATTCTTATTTGTCACTAGTATTTTTTATAGATCTCATCATAATACTTATAGCATATAGTAGAATGTTCCACTCTAAGTTTATTTTTAGTTTTTTTTTTTGGATTATATGTAAATTTCAATTACTAACATGTGCACCATGTGGCCTTTGTATGTAAGATGTTTTAGATAAGATTAACATAGTCTAGGATTTTATGTTGTATTTAATTTGTTAATTAATGTTTGTTAGTAGGATTAAACTTATTGTGAGATTTAAACCTTGTTGGAGGTGTGTTTTAAATGAAAAAAAGAAGAAGAAGCAAAACAAGAAAGATAAAAGGATTTAATTTCATAATCTCTTATAATACAATAAAGGTATACATAACATGTTTTTATCAAATAATACAATAAAGTTATAATACAATAAAAGTAATTCGTTGTCACTTAAAAAAAATGTTTTGATTTATAAGAATTGTATTTGAAGTATATTCTTACAAGAATGTGATGTATTTAAAATGTTAATAATAATATATTACTAAATCAGGGAATCAAATGTTAGATTTTTATTTATAATTTATAATTACATGAATTAAGATATCAGAATAATCAATAAGTTATTATCTTAACTTAATAAATAAATACGTAATAAAATAACTCGATTATCTTGAGATTATATATGATGTTGAGTTACATATTTTAGAGTGTAATGAATGTTATATATTAATTTATTATGTGCATGGTTGTTTATATTATCTTAAATAATAATATATTCTTTTAGGAGAATATTATGATTTAAAATTAATATTAAAATAATATAATTTTAAAGCATGAACTAATATTAAAATAAACACAAATTTCATTTGTCTGATTACATCTCATATGATTTTTGTACATAAACATGAATTCGAAATTCAATCAATTTAATTAAATTTGGATTGAAATTTTAAAAGTATAATTGAGACCGCAATTTAGCAGTGCCTGGAGATGAAGATTAGAGAGATGTAGGAACAAAAGAAAGAAAAATTAAAGGAAGTGACGAGTGGTGGAATAAATAGAAGGGAAAAAATATGCTTTATGTACTTTAAAATTATTAAAATATTAAATACATCTTCTAATTTTATATATTTTTTAATTTTCGTTCTGTATAATTTAGTTATATTTTGTAGGTTCTTTAAAAATTTAAACACATGTACATTTAATTAAAGTCATTTTTAATTATACAATTAATATATTATTTATATATTATTATTTATTATTATTGCTAGCAAGACCTAAAAATATATTTAAATGATTGTTTTTTAATAAAACATACTTCAAATATTAAAGATATTTTATAAAATATAATTTGCCATGCAAAAAAAAAGAAAAGAAAAGAAAAGTAAGATGATGAAGAGAAAGAATGTATGGATATTCTGAGAAGAAGTTAGTTGTTGTTAATTTGCCATTGTCAGGGGAAGATAGGGCAGTAAACATTGTTAAATCAGCGTGATTAGGGAAGAAATTATTGTGACCAGACCAATGACAACATCGTATATTTTTTTGGGCACTTCCTAAAAGGGTGTGTTTTTTTGACACAGGACATGAAAACTCACTCACTCATTGTCCATAGAAAACCTCACCCTTCCATACCCTACTCTCACTTTTACCCCTAAATCACTCTCGTCGTTTTCTGCCTCCTCAACACAACACAACACCTATAATCCAATCCAAACAAACACTACTGCTCTTCTTCTGCTACTCACTCGCAAACTTCGCAGAGGAGGTGTCACTCCCACGTTCTGCTATCGAACTTCCATCATAACAAAACTATGATGAATACTCAAGGCCAACTTATGGATCTCATACTATCCTCATATACCACTCTCATTGCTCTCCTACTCTTCGCTCCCCTGGGTAAAACTCGTTCTTTTTATTATCATGTTGTGTTGTTCTTTGTTAAACTGAAAAAGAACACTTTTTTACTAACTCTCGCATCTTCTTCTTGTTGATGTTGTTCAGGGGTTATGGGTGCCACTTTCACATTCGTTAACCGATGCGATTACACAGTCTGGCCAGGCATTCTTGCAAATGCCGGTAGCCCACCTCTCCAAAGCACCGGCTTTGAGCTGCCCAAGGACACTTCTCGCGCTTTCCAAGCCCCCACCGGCTGGTCCGGCCGTTTCTGGGCCAGAACCGGTTGCACATTCGACGGATCCGGCTCCGGCTCCGGCTCATGCCTCACAGGCGACTGCGGTTCCGGTCAAGTTGAATGCAACGGCGCCGGAGCTGCCCCACCGGCCACCCTCGCCGAGTTTACGCTTGGCACCGGAGGCCAAGACTTCTACGATGTCAGCCTCGTCGACGGCTACAACCTTCCCATGATCGTGGAGGGCACTGGCGGGTCGGGTCTCTGTGCCTCCACGGGCTGCACATCGGATCTGAACCAACAATGCCCGGCGGAGCTGAGAGCCTCGGAGGGAAGCGCGTGCAAGAGTGCGTGCGAGGCTTTTGGTAGCCCCGAATACTGCTGCAGTGGCGCGTATGGCTCACCCGCTACCTGTAGGCCCTCCATTTACTCGGAGATGTTCAAGGCTGCTTGCCCCAGATCGTATAGCTACGCCTACGATGACGCCACCAGTACGTTTACGTGTACCGGCGCCGATTATACTGTTACCTTCTGTCCATCCTCTCCGAGGTTAACATTCTACCCTATTTCTCTTTCTTTCATTTTCTGTTGTCTGTTCCTTCTACACTTCATAGTTAACTCTCATTCATTTATTGCTCTGGTCCCATGTTTATTCACTTGACTTGAATTTACTACCTAACTTTTTACTTGATGCAGTGCTGCTGTATTTTACTGATTCCAATGGCTTGATTTATCTTTTATTTTTCACTAAAAATCACATCTTTGAAACTGCGACCTGTTATTAGGACACCACTTTTTTTATAGATTATTTTTACACAGATAATTTAATTGATATTCTTGCTAAATTTTTTTGAGAATGAGTAAATATTATCTTCTTTTCCTTAAAAAAAATCCGTTAACCCTAATTTAGTCTAGTTGTGGATGTAACCCATTTTAGTCCAAGTAGCAAAATAAATTTATGTTTGGTGATCTGCTTTTATTGTAGTTTAATGTCACATATTCATCTTGTAATATTTTATTCTTAGTGTGAGAATTTTTGGAGTATAATTCTAAATTCTTCTGTGATATTCATATTCTTATAGTATTTTTTTGTAGGGAAAGGTTACATTTATTAGATATCTATAATTTTTTATTTAGCAATTTCTTTTTATAGTAGAAAGATTTTACTCTTTGCAGCGTAAGTGCGTTAGGTGGGTTTTTCATACTGCCAAAGGAGAAGTTTTTAATGCTCATGTTGTTAAGTGAGACTTGACGATGGTTGGTGCTTGGTGCTACTGCCATTACCAAATGCTATACAATAACATTTATACATGCACACCTAAAATATTGAACAGGAATGTAGCTAGCAAGTGCTTAAATTTTGTTTGAGAAATTGATGAGATTTATCTCAATGTGTGCATGGTTTGATTTTACAGTCAGAAATCTTCACGAGATACCACCAACCCCATGCCCTCAACATCATCATCATCATCACAAACGTCAGGGACAGTGACAGGAACAGAAGCAGGAACAGAAATAGGATCCGAAGGAGGAGCATTGGTATACTCGGGTGCAGACAACGGCGTTGTGTATAACTCCGTTACGGATTCCGGGTCAAGTTCAGGATCCGGAGGAGAAACAATGCTTGCAGATGGGTCATATTTAGCTGGATTGGCCGTGGGCGACTCTTCTCCCAGAAGAACAGTTTCCATGGCGTTTGTGTACTCGGCTAGCTTTTTGCTTATTTTCACCTTGCTTTAGTTGAACCAGCATTGTTGCTTTTGTTTGTTTGGTTGTTAAATGTAAATGGGTCTTAGATTTCGGGTTTTTCGTGGTGGGTTCAAGAATTTTGGCTTTGCCAGTAAAGCTGGCAGATTCTCCCTGATTGTAAACCACCCGCCAAAAGATTCGCCAAAAAAATTATTCCGTGTTTCATTCGTTAAAGTGCTGGTTTTTATATTGTTTATTAATCTCGGGAAGCACTTATCTCCCCATTCCAAGCTTTTTTGAGGTTCTGTCGTTGTTCTGCTTTGAAAAGCCATCACATTTCTGTAACTTTGGGCCGGTTTTGTTGGTTTCACATGTATAGTAATAATAAGAATATGGCTTTCAACTGGGTTTCTCACCGACGACATCAGAGAAGAGACATTTTTCTTCATATTAGGCTTCACTTTGCGGCTGCTACAAGTAATTTGATGGCTTTTGTTTTTTGTTTTTGTCTGCTACGGGTGAGGGATTTCTGATATATACATTCTGTGAGTTCTAACAAGTGGCCAAAGTAAAGTAAAGAAAAAAACTAAAAGGTTAATTGAGGCCTGAGGATTGAGTGATGGAATATAGCAGAACACCAGCTTCAATTATTAAACCGCTGCATTGATAATGTGGGTTCCAATTTTCAAATCTACTTGTCATCAAGAACGAGAATAATATTCAACAAGAAGATCTTTTTCTTCAGCATTTTTCAAAAAGATGGATCATATCGTCCAAATGCTGCCGTTTAGGGGACCTACCACAAAGATAATTTCCAACATATAGTGACTTCAAGAATAATTTAAGTTTTTGTGGGAACATGGGGTTTGTTTTGTCCTTTATGCTCAGTCCAGCTACTCCTGTTAATGCTGTCTGCTTAGTTTTTCAAACCCTTTTTTTCTTCGCTAAAAATTCTGGAAGAAAATAAAAATCGATGATGCAGTTTACTTTAAACCATTTTTTTTACACCTTTCCCAATCTCTTTGAAATCATGGATGTTTAACTTAAAGATCGAGATATGTGAAAAAGAAAAGAAAAAAAAGAAGATAAATATGGGACAAACAATACTGAAGAAAAAAACCCACATTGATAACCCTGGTGAACTTTTTTGGCTAAGCAGAACTAGTCAAACTAAATTTTGATAACCAGTGAAATAAAAAATCTATTTTTAACAACTACCAACTCAAAGAAATTTAATTATGAAGTTGAAGTATTAGTAACTTGTCTCGCATAACTCTCTGCTCTGATTAGTGGAGAAAGTTTTGTGAAGAAAGAAACCTCCACTTTTTTTGCAGTTCCCTTAACAGTGAGATACAGGCATCAACATGCTAAGGTCCAATGACTTAATTTTATTTGGATAAATCACTGTTTTAATCCTGAATATATATAAATTCGATTCATTTAGTGTTTGTAAAACAAAATTTCTTATTTAATCATTAAATATGTTAAAAGTGAGATGATAAATTGAAAATAGTATAATAAAACAATACTTTCCTTTATGAACAACAATCCGTTGTAGTCTAGTTGGTCAGGATATTCGGCTCTTACCCGAAAGACCCGGGTTCAAGTCCCGGCAACGGAATAATATTTTTATTATTATTTTTTTTTCATCAACATTGTATCTCAGTTGAATTGCAACATGAATCTCAATTTTCGTCCAGATCAACAATTATGTTAGGCGTCATCAACATGACCTAATTTTAATTAGATAGGCTTCAAATAAGTAACAGATTCATTCAAAACTTGATATTCAGGCAAAGGGAGAGAGGTAATATTAAAAACTTTACTTAAACGCATTGTAACAAGAAATCCGTTGTAGTCTAGTTGGTTAGGATACTCGGCTCTCACCCGAGAGACCCGGGTTCAAGTCCCGGCAACGGAATATAAGTTTTAAACAGAGATGTGTTTCTTAATATTTTTAAAGATTTTAATTCTTCGATTGAAGAAATTTGGATTTAGGAGTGTGGAGTTAAGAGTTTCAAGAATGGAAAAAGAAACTTCAAAGTAAAGGCGAAGCGATAAATTCTAGATTTAACATATTAGGATTTTTATTATTCTATTACGATTTCGATTCCTTGCATATGGAAGGTCGTGAACTGAACCTTGGTAATAGTATCAACTTTTATAATGAACTAGTGTGAATTGAATGAGTGACTGAATGAAGGTATACGTGTGTTTGTGTGGACAATTTTATTTTTTTATCTCTTTCTTGCTTTTCACTGTATGGATGTGTGAGAATTTATTTATTTGACCCATTGATATGTTCAAGTGAGTGGAATAGTGTTAGCATGTGCAGATTTGAAATTCTTGGGTTTATCCATGTCTCATATTTATGAAGGGATTTTTGAGTTATTTGTTTTTGCTAGAGAACGAGAAAAGGAAGAAGATTATGGCAAATTTGGAATGAAATTTCTTTTTGTCGTATAGATGATTCAAAGCAAAATTTTGTAAAAACGTAAGTCTAAGTTTAAGTTTTCTGTAAGGTAAACTGTTGTTTGTTAACAATAATCCAACCCCAGATTGATATCTCTACCGATAAAAGCCATTTGATTTGTATAATTTTGTAGTATGTGTGTACCCTTGAGGCATCCTTAATTTATTAACACACTGCCAACACAACAAAATACAACACATGATACAATTCCAAAGATTGCAAACTTTAAGACTTTCACATTTTAGAAACCAGTGACTATTGCTAATAACCAAACAATAATTGTTTAAGAATTCCATAAAACAGCTGGTACCAGCCTTCCAATTCATAGAACAAACAACATAATATTTTAATTCACCAAAAAAAACTCATCATGATCAATACTAAATACACCTCTATCCATAATATGGTACAAAATTAATTCTTACTAATCCTTCCAAACACAGTCTAAGGAAATGACAGTACACCAGAGAGGCCAAAGTGAAATAAAAATAAATGAGCCTTCTTTACTTAAAAAAAATGAGTTAATTAAGTATCCGACTGATATGATAAATCACCTTTCTGACGGATGGATATTGAGATATCATCTGAGCATACAGTTCATCAATCCCAGGAATGTCATTCAATAGCCCCATTATGAATCACCGGCCACTTGATGCTGCTAAGGATTTCTTGGGTTTCTTGCTCATGGCAATCTTGGTGTAAATATTCTTGGTTCTGATTGACAACAGAATGTCTAAGAAGAAGCCAACAATACATGCTCCAGTCATGATTATAAAGACTAGCCTGTAACAATGACCTCCAACACAGGTGTTGCCTCCTCCGTCTGTTGTGGTTGCCTCCTTATCATACAGGATGCCAGCAAGCAACCCAGAGAAAAGGAAAGAGCCCAGGGGTAGGTTAAGGATGAGAATATTGTAAATGAGACCATAATATTTGAGTCCAAATAACTCTGAGGCTGTTGGGACTGTAATTGCAAGCCGAACTCCATAACATATGCCAACCAAAATGGACCCAATGTATAGAGAACCTGGCATAGCCATGGCCAAGAGTATGTAACCTACAGCCATTAGAAGCTGAGATGCTGCATTCCAAAGAGGTCTAGGTGTTGCTGCTTTCCTGTAGGGATATTTTTGGATTAGAAATGAACCTACACAGCTCAAATATGTTGAACCAACAATAGTAGTTACAGTTACAGAATCTACACACCAATTTAAGATATTTCCATTGCAAATACGCACCCTAAAATAGACAATTAAACTTAAAACAACATTGCAAACCGTGACAAATTGATCCTATGTTCACAACCCTTTTATACACAGACATCTATCTTACAACTCTCATTCGTAAGATGTAATTATAATATTATTATTTATTAACTTATTATTATTTAATGTGTAGAATGGAGAACTAGATGTCCAAATATCAGCACCCAGCTGCAAAACATGCAGGAAATAAAAGGAAAAAATATTTTAATACCACTATTCACACAACTAAGCCACGTATTTTATGTTATAATAATAATTTTAAATTGTTTTATTTTTATTAATTTTTTTTATAATTATTATATTAATAAAATAAGTTGATATTGAAATTGTTTTCTTAGAAGGTTGTCAATGTCATGCTCGAAATGTCAATCAAACTAAACTTCTACCTAAGTTTCTTCCGTCTTCAGGAGAAAGATAAGTTGGTTAAGATTGATATATCTTCTAAATAACTTTTAATAAATAATTCAATTTATACATATACATAAACGTTGTACTGTCGTCTCAATAAATGTTGTCTCGTTGCTAATAAGTTAAACATCGTATTTGGTGATGATTGCGACTAATATATCCCACTTTTCTTTGTTTCATGTTACTTTCAATTCCAAGAGCTAAATATTCAACTATCATTTTTTTATTTTAAATTTTAAATTTTTAAAATTGCAAGATAAAAAGCCAATTGTGTTGTTTCGCCCAAAATACGAAACAATGATCAATAAATAAATATAAAAAAAAATGCAAGTTGGTTCGGTTGAAATGGAATAATCAGATAAGACTTACTTGATGGTGAACTCCGAAATAGTACCCGATACGATCCGTCCAAAGAACCCGAAAATACTGGTCAAAGACACAAAGAGTGAGACATCTGGGTACCCGAGAGACAACCCGATTTGACCCATGTTGTTCATCACAGCCAAACCCGTTCCAACCCCACAGAGGAACGACACGAACAAGATCCAAAAATCCACGCTCTTCAGCGCCTCAAATATCGTGTGCTCTTCTCCCAACACCGGGGCCCTCTTCTCCACCGCCGCCTCCTCTTCCGCCGCAACGCTTTCGCTTCCATGCTCCCCACTCCGAAGCAACGGTTCGTCCACCCTCTGCCCCTCCACATCATTCCCCGCTCCGAACCGTCCCTCGAAGTACGCGTACACCGGAATCCCCAACGGCGAAGCCAGCATAACGAGCAAAACGGCGACGAAAACGCGCGACACGAACACGCTAGGGCCGGGGATGAAACCGTACACCAAGAGGAAAAGCGCGATGACGACGGCAACGACGTTGAAGAGGCCGAAGTACTTGACCTCTTCGGCGTCTCCGGCGGCGGCGACAGAGGGAGGAAGCTCGCGGAGGAAAAAAACTCCGGTGAGACAGACGGCGAAGGGAACGAGAGAGAGCATGAGGAGGAAGGAGCCAGGGTCGTCCGCGAAGAGCGCGGAACAGAGTGTAGTGAATATCGCAGTGCTCAACCCTACAAAGCCTTTCAGAATCCCCGAAACGGGTCCTCTGTTCGTCCGAAAGTTGCGTATGCACGTCACCAAAACGGCAGTGTTCATCCATGTCGTGCTGTTCCCTCCCATGCACAGAAACACACACATCTGCGTCGTTTTATCAAATACGACGAATTAATTAGTGAATCAAACAGGGTTTTTAATTCAAACAACCAAACATGAATCTGAAAATTTCTATGTAAGTGTTTACCTGCCAATAGGGAAGGGGCTGGATTCTCTGGCTTACAACGAGCCATTGGGCTCCATAGCCTATCAGGCCTTCCACGGAGCCTATTAGGAGAATGACCCAAGTGGGGAAACGGTCGGAGGCCAGGCCCGCGAGAAGCCCAAAGGCTTTTCCGACGTCTTTGGCGACGGAGAGGTTGTTGAGTTGCACCTGCGTGAGATGCATGAGGGATTTGAGCGCGTCAGAGTAGTTGGAGAAGGTGTAGTTGTTCCCGGAGATGCACTGAATCCAGACGGCCGCCACGAAGCCCAGCCATTTAATTGTGGTTGAAAGGGTGGCCGGCGAAAAGGTTGTTGCGGTGCCCATGAAATTAATCTCAATCGAAATTGGAATAAAGTGTTGCTTAAATTGTTAAGGCGAAATGGAAGACTTGTTGATGTATTTATAGCAGTGGAGGGTGTCCCCAAGTCTCACCTTAACGTTGAAGGTGAGTGTAATCACTGTAGCGGCAATTGGACGGGAACTAGAGAAATTTTTTTACTTTATTTATTTATTTAAATAATATTATTTTGGAGAGAAACGTGGAAAAAAAAAAAATATCCTCATCCGTGGTCGATGTCAGACTCTGATCGTACAGATTTTTGATTCATATCTTTCAAGCGCCGACGGTGTGTTTTGGTGGGACCGACGGTGGTTTTGTCCACTTGATAGTAATTCATTCCATGGAATGGTTGTTGATATTTTCAAACTCAGAACTTCTGAATAGGGATTAGTAACAGTAACCCTTAAGAGAGAAAGAGTAACCACCTAACTTTTTCTTATTTTCGGTCTCTGTTTTTAAATAATCATTTATATAAAACACCAATTTTACAGAAAAATAAGGAAAACTTTAAGTTAAATATTTTTTTCTTCAATTATTTTATTATTCTCCTTTTTAATTTTGATTCTTTTTTTTATATCATCATACTAGTCTTTTTTTCTTTCCTCCCAAAATAAATTAATATATATCTTATAAGACATCAAAATAAATTATATTTTTAATACAAAAATATGATATCATGATTATCAATATAAGGTTTTAATAAAAGTTAATTTTAAAAATTTAACTTGATTAAACAGAATTAAATTATACTTTGTTAAATATCGTAAAAGTTAATTATTTGTACTTGTATTTAAAAGTTTTAGACTAGTTTGAAAAAAAAATAAAAAATACTAATACATAAAAATGAAAATAAATTATTTTCTTATTTGATAAAGAAAGTAAAAAAATATATCACTTCTAATTATAACTTGTTTTATTTTTTTATACTCATGTATTAGAAAAAATAATAAAAATAATAAAATAAAATTATAGAATTATCTTTCCTTAAATAATTAATTATTTTATTTTATTTTTATAGTTTTATTATATATATATATATATATATTATTTTAATAAAATATCATAAATACAAAAATAGTTATAAAAATCAAATAAGTAATTTAATATATTTTTTATAATGTGATATTGTTATTAATTTAAACTCAATTTTTAAAAAAATATAATAACTATTTTTTAAATTATATATTAAAATATATAATTTATTTATAATCTAATTAATTAGTGATTATTTTCTTTCAGAATATGTATATTTTTTATTTTATTTTAATTTTTTATTGTTTTTCACATTTTCCTTCCATATTACCAAATATATAGCTTTATTTCTTTTGTAATGTTTACCATTACATTAAACATGACAATGTGTTTATGGACATTAAAATATTTTGTATATGTGATTCAATATATAATTATTTGATTTATTTTTTGAAATCAGGTTCCAATTCTTAACTATTTCTATATTCTTATATGTTTTTTGAATTGAGAATTTTGATATTCGTAATAACCTAACAACCAACATGGATGAAGTAAAAATGATTAACTGCTATGCTATGATATAACTTACATGATTAAGACAGATTATAGTAATTTATTGTAAAATGAAAAAAAAATGTTTTCATTAGCATCATTTGTACGTTATAACAAAAATTACTAATATATGAATAATATATATATATATATATATATATAATTATTTTTTAGAAAATAATATATTTTCTCACGTATAATAATAAATAAGGAATAGAATAGGTAATAATAATTATATAATAAACTTAAAATTCATTATACTCTCGTTTAGTAAAAAAAATACTTTTGTATTTTATTTTTTCTTATACACTTTGTAGTAGAATATTAATAGATCTAATTTAAATTTATGATTTTGAGTTTGTATTTTACTTTTTCTTATATTTATGTAGTAGAGTATTAATAAGTTTAATTTAAATTTATGATTTTCAGTTTGTATTTTACTTTTTCTTATATTCTTATAGTAGAATATTAATACATTTAACTTAAATTTATGATTTTCAGTTTGTATTTTACCTTTTTTTATACTCTTGTAATAAAGTATTAATAAGTTTAATTTAAATTTATGATTTTGAATTTGTATTTTAATTTTTTTATACTCTTATAATAGAGTATTAATAGGTTTAATTTAAATTTATGATTTTGAGTTTGTAGTTTACTTTTTCTTATTTTCTTGTAGTAGAATATTAATTAGTTTAATTTAAATTTATGATTTTAAGTTTGTATTTTACTTTTTTTTTATACTCTCATGGTAGAGTATTAATAGGTTTAATTTAAATTTATGATTTTGAGTTTGTATTTTATTTTTTGTTATATTATTGTAGTAGAGTATTAATGAGTTTAATTTAAATTTATGATTTTGAGTTTGTATTTTACTTTTTCTTATACTCTTGTAATAGAGTATTAATGGGTTTAACAAGAGTATTAATAGGTTTAATTTAAATTTATGATTTGAAGTATTTGAACGTATTTATTTTGATTTCTCTGGCAATTGTGAAGCAGAGTAATAATCTCCTTCCATGAATAATTTTTTTATTAAACTGTCTATCCATTTGTAAAAGCGAAATAATATTAAAATTGTCCTCTTGTGAACAGATAAGGGCAAGTTGGCACTTATTCGGGTAAAAGTGATACGGAGATTGGTGGATAAAAAAGGGGAAAAGAATGAGTCTTTCTTCCCATGTATGTCCCCCCCTCATTTGGGAAAACTCAGGTTTCAAATTGCATCTCTTTAAATTCATATCGGAAGCAGTTTTAAGTTAGTTTGTGACAAGATCATGTGATCGACAACAAATTCTATCCTGAAAGACCGAAACCAATGGACATGTTGCCTGACGGCTGTTAATTAATGAAAGTTCAGGAAAATAAAATCCGTACTGATCAATTTGGAAAATTAATATACTTCGATTTTAAGTTTAACCATTAAAATGCAACTAGTTTAGGAAAATTAGGTTAATTAGGAATTAAGTTATTCTTCAATAGGGACATAACACTTGGATATAGTTTCCTATTTTTCTGAGTGCAAGCAACAATCTCGTTTTCTTTGAGTTTTTTTTTCACACAGTTGCAAGCAACGTTTTTTGTGGCGTTGCATCCCCCACTAATATTATTATCACATATATTACGAATCTTTGTCACAATTAAAAAAGATATGTTACTAGTGGCCTAAAATGTTATTTGACAAAGACAAGTTGATGGAAACGTTCATTAATGCTTTGTTTAACGCATAACCTTGGATGAGATACTTTTAAATTTTAAAAACTAAAGAAATTTTTATAAACTTATGAAAAGATGATAGTAACTTTTCTTTCTCCGAAATTTGAACTTCATATTTCTAAATATAAAACGCATATTGATTATGATTACAATAGACTAATGAATAAAAAATTTAAATTAGTTTATTTAATTTATGAAACTAAGATTACATGAAATTCGTTGTAGTCAGTTGGTTAGGATACTCGGCTCTCACCCGAGAGACCCGGTTCAAGTCCCGGCAACGGAATATTTCATTTTTTTGATAGGGAGATAAACATCTCTTTAAGGTTAATTTTTTTATTTGAATATTTCTAGATTCATTAATTTTTTATTTAATCTCATGTTAAAATAAAATAATGTGTTTTAAGCTATAAATCAAATCACAATCCTTAATCAGTCTTATATCTGATTTGTTTGTTTAAGTTTTGAAAGATTAACTATTTTAATTTTACTATTTTTTTAAAACAGTTTTATTAGTTTTATCAAATTTTATAATAAAATATTGCATAGTTAATTTTTCTTTATTAACAAAGAGGAAAGGTTAATTGAGTAGGGTTCGTATGAAGTGATGGATAGACATTATCAGATGGAAGCCATTGTCCCCTCGTGGCACTTTCTAATTAAAATATGTTCAAATGTTTCGAACAGGTGTTGTTTACACACAAAAAAAAAATTAAATGAATGTGAAAATATACAAAAATTAAGTATTTCAGATTATTATAATTAATATAATTTTATAAATATATATATATATATATATTTTATATTAACATTTTTATTTTTATTAATTCATATATTAATTTTAATATTAAAAAAAATAAAAAAATATTGTTATTAATACCTCGTTCGCTGTCTACCTACTTAAAAAGAATTAAAATAAATCTCGTATACACACTTCTAGATTCAGCAACAACAACGTACATATAAGTATATGGAAAAGGAGAAAAACAAAGAAAAAAAGGAGGAATAAAACAAGAACAGCTGTGTAGGGTTGAAAGACAGCAAATGTTGTGTCGTACCACGTGATATAAGACAGTATAAATGTGGGCCAACGAATAACAACCATTTTCTTATTTCATCGGTCACAGCATGCACAACGCTGTGTTTTTCTCTTCCCACTCTATAACTAATAAGATAAGATGTCGTGCCTATAAAATAATTCACTGATTATCATTAGTGCCTTGTCTTATCAACAATCGAACACCCCTTAAGGATAAGCACAACGTCACTTCAACATGTTTATTACATAATAAAGATGGAAAAGGAAGGGAAGGCAAAGTTGCCCCGTAAATTTCTTCTCTCTGACAGAATGTTGATAGAAAATACGACTTATAAGAGGAAAAGAAAAAATGTCGTCCATCCTATATAAAAGATGTTCTTGTTTTTGCACGTATTATTGCATAAAAGTAAGAATGTGATAGAAAATACGATTCTGTGTTTTATGATATATATTTTCTAATTATTTTGTATTCAAAAATACTTTCTTTCCCAAACAAAATGTTTTTTTTTATAAGATTTGATACAAGAAGGAGAGTTTTAACTTAGTTTTGTGAAAATTGGCATGTTTTCTTCAGCTTGTGATTTCCTGTAACGTATCAAGAAATAATAATGATTATTTTTTATTTAAAAAACTGTGGACAAAGAGTGAAACCACATGCAACCGTGATGATTGATTAGTGTAAGAGATAGATGAACCTAATGATGGATA